TAACGAGACGGAATCGTCCTCGCTCCTTGTCTTCCTCTTCTGTCTAAAGAAAGGCATTGACCTCTTCTTTCTCAAGGAAGACATTAGCGGAATTAACAAGACGGAATCGTCCTCGCTCCTTGTCTTCCTTGACGGTATAATAATCGTCCTTAATCAACCTCCAATACGCAGGAAGCAAAAAACAGGTAAAAAATACTCAAAAATGACAAACCCAAAAATACGAATCAAAGACACAGCAAACAAATACGGATTCAAGAACAACAGAAAAAATACTCACCAGAAGAGAGTCGGGAATCAATCGGTTTCACTTCTTTTCTCAGGCGGCCGTATTAAGGGAGATTGTCGATTTGACGGATGGGAACGGAAAAGGAGAAAGATTAGGGTTGGTGCCTACTAATTATGTGGGCCTTCTTTTTAGTATATTTGATCAGACCAAAATTGGGCCTTTTCGTTTGGGCCTTCCTTTTTTAGTATAAGTCAAATTTGTTTTACGCCACGAATGGTGTTAAGTTTTAAAAAAATTATCGTTTTTGTCACTTGTTATTATGGGACTACCACGTGACTTTCCGGATACACGCATATAATTTATTTTACACTTTAAAAATAGAAAATATGTATTTGTTTTATTTTTATTAGAAACATGATATTTTGTTGTAATTTCTTTTTTTTTTGTTATTAATACAAGGTTTTGGAAGTTTAATTTTACCATTTCATTATTTTATATTTATAAACATATCAAATAAAATATATAATAATTTAATACATTAAAGTGCATAATCTATTATCAAAAATTTGAGATTTCTTTCATTGAAATTTGAATCCCTTATTTAATCATCTTTTTTAAAAACAATATCATTTTCTTTGCATTGAATTTTGTATAAAAACTGAATTCAACATAAAAAATATGAAAAGATTAATTGGAGCAACTTTTCGTAAACTAAGAAAAATTAATAAATTTTTCATACAATATAAACCAAGTGAACTACGTTTTCCTCTTTTTTGTCTTTCAAACTTTTGTTGATTTGCGTCTCTTACACTTTTTCATATTTTATTAAAGAAAAATAATTTAGAGATTCATTGAAAAATTTTTTATGGTCTGATCTTTTTATTTTATATTAAATTTTTCATAATATTTTTTTACTAAACATTAAATATAATATAAAAATGTTAAACTGATTTTCTTAAAATATAAAAGTTGAATATTAGCTTTTTAAATATTAGTATATAAAATTATATTTAATATAATGATATAATATTTTATGTGCAATTTATCTTAAATAATTTTGTTATTTTCAAATTGTCTTGTGTTAGAATTTTTTTTTTTTAAGAATACATAAATTTTTATATTTGTTTGAAATTTTCTTGTCACAAAACATAATAAAATCTCTTAAAAAAATTTATCAATTCTTTATTATAAATTCAGTAGAAATATGTTTATATGAAAAAGTGTTTAAAAACTTTATTGTGACAAAAAAATATTTTTTTAATGAAAAACGTAAATATTAGTAAAAAAATACTTAATTTTTTTTTATTTATGGAAAGAAATGTAAACATAGTTAAAGAAATCTTTGTAAAGGATGTTGTTTTGATTTATTTTTGGAATGTCATATTTCTTTTAAGCCATGTCATAATAAAATTGGTGAAAGTGATTCTTGTGGTGACACATAATCAAATTTGAGGAAATTATTTTTAAAATAATGTATAAGGAATTGGAAAAATCATCGTTTTGTCTTTCTCTTCTTCTTTTCCAAAAAAACATTGACGAGACAAAAAGAAAAAACGAAAGGGTCAGTCCTTCAACAGATGTATTTGTACCAATTTCATATATACCAATTTCATATATGTTTATAGATGGTTTTAGATACATCATATATACCAATTTCAGTCTCGTATAATTGGAAATGTGAGAAAGATTGTGTTGTGCAACAAATATGAATTTTGAAATATTTGGAATGTAGGAATACTACTCGCACTAAAAATAATATTTCAAACATATCTATGACATCACTTTTATTAACCAATCCGCCTTTGTCTAGTTGGTAAAAGAGTGTCTAGTTGAGAAGCAAGTCGAACCTAAGAGAGAAGGAATGTTTGTAAAGATCAACATGGATGGTGTTCCAATTGGTCGTAAAGTCGATCTCAATGCTTACAATAGCTACGAACAGCTTTCTTTTGCCGTTGACAAACTCTTCAGAGGTCTACTCGCAGGTTAATTACAAATATTGTTTTGTTTGATGTTCTTAGAGAATGGTTTCTTGTTGAATTGAGTTTGTTTATGTTGTTTTGTTAGCTCAAAGAGATGCTTCTGGTGGTGAAGGAGAAGAGAAACCGATCATTGGTTTATTAGATGATAAAGGAGAATTTACTTTAACTTATGAAGACAGTGAAGGAGACAAGATGCTTGTTGGTGATGTTCCTTGGAAGTAAGAATCTTTTTTCTTTTTAATCTTCTTCGAATCTGATTCAGTGTTAGGGCATGATCAGATTCTTAAATCTACTTTTTGTTAGTAATTTTCAAATTGATAATCTTTTACAAAAAGAATGGATACTAACTAATCTCTTTTCTTGCCGGTTTATGGTTGTAATTCACGTTTGTAATTCCTGTTCTTAATATAATCGAAACAGATGACGTAAAAAAAAATTGATCGAGTAGATGATATCATCGTTCGTAAGCTCTACTTTCTTCACTTTCGCGTGTGTTTCATCGTCCCGATACATTTTTCGTCGTTTCTATTACCTGTTGGTTTTTTTATTAACAATCAAACCAAAAAATATTTAAATTAGCTTTTATATCCGATTTTCTCAACAATTTTTGTATAGTAGTCATAGGCTATAACAGCTGCGTAGAGTACACGAAAGTCGAGAAGTTCATAAATCCTTTCTAACTTATGTTTTGAAAACGGATTAACCAATCCGTTTTTTTTTTTGTGTGTAAAGTGTCTTTACTATACTGTAAATTGATTATGAAACAGTGTGTCCTTACTTTAACCAAACAAACAAATTAATATATGAAAAGATCAACTGGTTGATTGATTTTTTTTTTTTGTCACTGGTTTTTTGATTGATTTTCATAACTAAAAACAAATTAAGATATGAAAAGATCAACTGGTTGATTGAAAATACTGCAGATAGGTATCTATATAGAACATGATTGTAGAGACTATTTTACATTGATGAGGATGAAGATTAAAGTGTGAGAGAAGAGAGGCTAATGGTGGGATTTATACACACCGATCTATTTTATATTGATCTATTTTAAATCTCACGACTAATTTTTTTTTTTTTTTCAACCTCTCTCGATTAAATTATTAATGAAAAAACCATTAATTAGAAGATTTTAATAAAAAACCCCTCAACTAAAAATTTAGTGAACAAATCCCTCAACTAAAGTTTCAATAATGAAAGAATCCTCAAGCTAGGTTTACAAGTAAAGTTTCAATAGTTAATATCAAAATACTAAGCAATTGTTATTAGATTGATTGTTTCCGATTTTTAGTTGATTGTATTGTGATTCCAATGTTGTTTTAAAATCATAATAAGATTAAAAGGTAAACCACACAAACTCTCTCTCAAATAGTCATGCGTCATCTTGTAGTTTTCATTCATGATGCATTTTAATGTTATGTATATAATTCATGAACATATTGTTATGAATTTTTTTCAATTGATTGTATCATGTTCTCAATGTTGTTTCTAAAAACATTTCATTTTCTAATGTTCAAATAAAATATACGTCATTTTTAACAAACCATAC